AGATTATCGCACAAAATTTCATAACTGAATCAATAAGCGGTCAGATCCTCATGCGTCGAAACCAACGGGAGAGTTCATTATTATTATTATTATTATTATTATTATTATATAGTTTTAAGGTGTGCTACATTTATGGGATAAAGTGCTCAATGTCAGAGATAGAGCGTATGTAAATATAAAAGTGAAATTGAAGTCAACACTCGACATGTTTCATTGAATAATTTAGACAGTTTGGTCTATTTAATTTCAGTTGGATCCTTTCATATTCACGGGCCAGCTTTTTGGTGTCATTATTAAAGGAAGAGAGAAGATCACCGAGTTGATCCAAATTATTTTATTGCTTCGACATAGACCAATGTCATCATCAGGGTGTTGTTTATTTCGAGACAAATATTGTAGTTTCGTCATTTTCAAAGAAAACTGAAAATTGTTTTGAGAAGTGAAGAACGCTGATTGAGTACTGTGATGGCTTGACTTACGCTTCAAGAGAAGTAACTAAGTATGGTGTTGTCCATTGTTTTTAAGAAATAAGTATTAAAACTATTAATTCAAACCTCGATTAGCTACCTTCTGTAAACATTTTAAAACATCTGTGCAATATTTATAATTTATTTTATTAAGGTTTATTTTCAATTTCTAATATAGATAGCTTCGAGAATTTTTAGTCCATGTTTATTATTTTCATGAAAAAGTATACTTGTATTTTCAACAAGAATTTTTCTGAATTGCGAATATGGAGAGGGTGAATTTTTAGAAATGCTGGACGCATCATTCAAATGAAAGCACAGCCGGCGGGACAAAGTAGTCATAGTGTGGCTGACATACATACATACATACATATATATATATATATATATATATATATATATATATATATATTAACTTTCAGATGAACACAGCAATTTTGTCTTTGAAAATGATGAACACAACAATATTTGTCACGAAATAAGCAACACCCTGATGATGACAATACGCTATGTCGAAAGTACTCGGAATATCCATTGTTCATCAATAGAAAGAAATGAATTACAAGTTCCAGTCGTCCAGGAATGTTTTGAAAAAGAGAGGGGTGACTAAAATCCCAAGTTCATCTGAAATTCTGTGTAAAGAAAATCCAGACAGCTGTACATTTCTCACATTGAAATAACAAGCATTTCTTACAAGTTCCACTACTACAGAAAACATAAAAAGGCACGTTTAGCATTCGATTTTCATTCAGTAGAAATAGAGTTATTTGGTCATACGAAACAATTATTTAACTTTTAAGGCATATGCAGTAACAAGATATTTGGAGAAAATCTTCATAGCTTTAGATGTAAAAGAATCTTAACAATACGGGGACCTTTATAGGTTTGTTATAGCGCGTAGCAGTTATCGGATAGATCAACAAGATTAGCTAAAAAAAAGTTATTTTTTATAAAGCAAAAAAAAAACAATTTTTACCCACTGCTATACAATTTAGATTTGGTAAATGATTTATTTAAATTTACTTTAAAAGCAACTACGAAATACTTTTAAAAAAAAAATAACATTAAGGGAAAAGAATGAATTTCTGAATAACCTAACCTTCATCAAATCGAACATTTATGGTATTAGAAACTGCTGCTCATAAATTTAAGCCATCGAATCTGAACGATTTGAAACGATTTTTGAGAGAAGAATAATCGAAAATCACATTTCCAGAAGCCTTATTGGAAGCGATAGAAACTCTTCCTATTATAGCAAAAAATAGTACCAAAGAAAGTTTAACTAAGTTTAAGTATTTCAAGGGGTGAATACTAATGCAACATTAATTATAACAATTACTGACAATAATGAAAAATAAAATAAACAACAATATTAATTGAGTTATTTAGAGGAATAACCTGAAGAGATACAGACATATTCAGGTTATCTTGCCCTCGACACACCCACTTGCTTGGCTGTAGTAAATATGGTTTCCCTACGACCACAATGCACCACAGGGATTGTGATATAGATTAATACATACATATCATCAAATCAAATTTGCGATGATTAATCGGAAAAATAAAGAAAAGAATTTAGTGATCAATAAATTTGCGTACAAATTTGCTTTATGTTCTCTCATGCTCTCTTTATACATACACACATATATATATATATATATATATATATATATATATATATATATATATATATATATATATATATATTAAAAAAAGAGGGGTGCCGCAAACGTTTTTTTTTTAATGTGGATTTATTGAAAAAAATTTTATACTTTGTTTTTAAAAATAACATCGAGAATATTCCACATTGAACATGAAGAAAAATTAATTATTTTTAATAATATGTAGAAATTCCACATTGAACATTGAAGATATGCCAAAATTACTTTTGAGACCAGAAACACGTGTCGTGAAATTATGTAAAACAAAGTATAATATTTTTTCTCAATAAATCCACATTACAACCAAAAACGTTTGCGGCACCCCTCTTCTTTTAATATACATACTTTTCTCTCGTTGGAACCAACATATTACAATATATATTATTTATATATATATATATATATATATATATATATATATATATATATATGCATTCCTTTTTATGAGTGCTACTGCTAATATGTAACCCAGTACTACTTGCCGCATAGTCAAGTTATCGACAAACCGGTTCCCCCACCAGGCTTGACTGGTAAGGCGGGTGACTAGTCCCCCAGCGGGAGAGAAAAAAAACCAAAAAAAACAGGACCATTCAATGAGCAGATGAATGACCACATAACATATTCAACTACATGTCATGTGTGTGTGTGTGTGTGTGTGTGTGTGTGTGTGTGTGTGTGTGTGTGTGTGTGTGTGTGTGTGTGTGTGTGTGTGTGTGTGTGTGAGTGTGTGTGTGTGAGTGTAAGTGTGTGTGTGTGTGTGTGTGTGTGTGTGTGTGTGTGTGTGTGTGAGGTGTGTGTGTGTGTGTGTGGTGTGTGTGTGTGTGTGAGTGTGGGGTGTGTGTGTGTGAGTGTGTGTGTGTGTGTGTGTGGGGGTGTGTGTGTGTGGAGTGTAAGTGTGTGTGTGTGTGTGAGTGTGTGTGTGTGTGTGTGTGTGTGTGTGAGTGTAAGTGTGTGTGTGTGTGTGTGTGTGTGTGTGTGTGAGTGTGTGTGTGTGTGTGTGTGTGTGTGTGTGTGTGTGTGTGTGTGTGTGTGTGTGTGTGTGTGTGTGTGTTGTCTCAGCGTCTCATCTCATTCATTTTTTTTCACGATATTCTTATTCTGGCTTATCACTGATGTTTCACTTAGTGGTACACAAGAGAAATGGAGAGCAATGCAGCTCCAAACCCATTCAAGGGTACAGGGTTTATCTATGAGATATGCATGATAGCAAGGAAGTCGAATGCTAGTCTCAAGAATTATCTTAGGTGCCAAGGACACCGAAACGTGATTGAAGCCACCACAAATGATGAGAGGAGTAGTCAACGATTCCCATCTAGGAAAGATTCAGCAATCACCATATAGATTAAAACCCGAAAGAATGATAGAATAAGGAACAAAATGTTTAAAAACGTTTCGAGTTATTTACGCTTCATCAGAGATTTTTGGAAATGCGATATGGAAGAGAAACTTTCTCTAATTTATGTGTTGTTTATTTTTTCATTTTTAAAAAAAAAATTCTTATAAAGCTTAAATAAAAACTAATCATTTTAAATTTATAAACGTTTCATATTTGTTCATTGTTCTCCCTCTGAAATATCAATTTCAGTTAAACTCTCTGGGGACGAGGTGTGGGTTGGTAAACAGTGACTATTATATAGCTATATAGCGAGACTCTTCGCAGACGATCTCTAGACGACTTGAGAATCTCCTACTGGGCGGTCTTCTTGCTTAAGTTTGTGAATGCTACCATAATCTTTGTATTTATTCATCTTTGGTATTACAAGGAGTTTTGTTGCGCGCTCACTCAAATGTTCCCTATACGTAATAATCAAGGTGGTTGCAGTCTGGAGAGTTAAGTGGCCAGATGTATGGCGTGATGTGGTCGAGGAAATGGTCTGGCATCAATGGCTGGGTTCTCCTGCCTGCGTAGCATGGTGCAGAGTCCTGTAGACGGACATAACATCTTCCAGCAACCACCCTCTTGGGTTAGAATTAACCCTAACACTAACCCTAATCCTAACGTTTCCAAATTTCTGGCGAAGTGTACTGCGTCATGGGGCTCTTTTTCTCAAAAGCAGCGCCGAACTTATCCCTAATATACTGTGCAGTCGACAAAATCAAAAACAAATAACGAGCATACGCGAAATAAAAAATATAAAATGGCAACAATTAACACATGGCTTCCCGTATGTATATATATATATGTGTGTGTGTGCGTGTGTGTGTGAGTGCGTGTGTGTGTGCGCGTGTGTCTGTGTCCGTAAAAAGTATAATTATTGATCAATGAGTGCTGATGTAACCAAACGATGAGGAAAAAATGTATATTTATTACCAATATATATATATATATATATATATATATATACCTTTTTCATCTTTATTTCTTCCTCGTTCCTCGTTTATTTTTCACTTCTCTTAAGCTTTCATCTCTTCGCTCCTTCTTTTTTTTCTTTTTTTTTTTTTTTTTTTGCCAATATAGATTCTTATGATCTGACTCCCAAAACATGGATGAGTAAGTCCTTGGTTTAATCTATTGCAACGTGGGATTAAGTTGCTTGGATTCGGCGATAATCCTCTCCAGTCACTACAACAGCCACGAATGAAGACCAACATTACCTCCACTTCCCCCTCTACTCTCTTCTTCCTCCTGCTCCTTCTTCTTCTTCTTCTTCTTCTTCTTCTTCTTCTTCTTCTTCTTCTTCTTCTTAATGTTTTCATTCTTTTCTATTAAATTTTCACGTTTTCTTTTCTTTATCTTTTTTTTTAAACAAAAAATCTGTATTTATTTTTCATTCTTGATTCTTTTCTCTTTTTCTTTTTTTTCTCTCTCTCTCTTGTTTCTTTTTTCTTTCTATTTTTTATCTCTCTCTCTCTTTCTCTTGTTCTTTACTCGATGAATATAATTTTTCTGTTTTCTTTCTTTTTTTCTCTCTTTCTCTCATTCTTTTTCTGGTCTTTTCTCTCTCTCTCTCCTCTCTCTCTCTCTCTCTCTCTCTCTCTCTCCTCTCTCTCTCTCTTCCACTTTTAGTACACCCCCTTTTTCCTCTTCTCTGATTACATATTACTTTCTACGGTCCCTTTATTTTACAGTTTTTTCTCTTTCCTCCACAATTTCATGCTTCGTCTTATCTTCTTCATTCTCAAGCCTCTTTTACGACCCTTATATTCTCCAGTAGATTCCACGCATGCGTAGTCGCCTTCTCCTAGCTTACAGACTCTGTGGGCAGAGTTCCAAAGGTCAGCGCTGCTTTCAGGTGAATCGCCACACCAGAGAGTCGCACAGCGAAAGGCGGGTTAAGTGAAACGGTGGGGAGGATCAGCTTTCCACTCATCCACTCCCAATACCCACATCGCGTGACGTCACAACGTCCATTCTCTCTTGACCCTAATGGCAAGGACGCTCGTTTGAATCTCTTTTCTATAACGCTGCTACAAAATCGCTTGGACACTATCGACGGATAGTAGGTGATATTCGTTTCAAATAGTGTGTTGCTAAAACACACAAGACAAAATATTATTTTGGCTTCCAAGTTTTTCAGTTTCAAGTAAACATTTTCTTTTCTTTTTTTTTTAATTGTCTGATCATTGTAATATATATATTCACATATTTCTATTTATCGCTGTATTCCTTGCCTTCTTTATCTCTCCACATTGATATATACTAATCAGGTGTACCCTTGACATCAAAAATGGTGGCACTGTTACAAAGATTTTATAGTGAGATGCAGTGAAACCAAAATCTTGAAACAATGTATTGAGATTCAATAAAGCAGAGATAAAGAATTCACAACTAAAATAATGGCCAAGGAACCGTTTCATTTACAGTTTTAGACATTCAATCAATTCATTGATTACTCCTGGTATTGTATCAGGCGCTTTTTGTTCAATATCATTTCATGTTAAAAATTTTATGTGTTTGATTTAACAGTGAGATGGAAATATCTCTTAGAAGAAAAAAAATTAGCAACAGAACAACAAAGACGGTGACGACAAAGCCTATTTTAAGACCAAGGTGAAGAAAGACAATCATTTAACAGACAAAGGTACCTGAGTGCCTCACATGAAAGGCTTTCACAAATAAAACTGCAATCTAAGAAACGTAGGAGTAAAGGAACTGATTAATTAAAAGGTTAATTTTGCCCAGGATATAATTTTAACTACATGCTGATAAATATTTCATTTCTTTAGATTATTAAGACGACTAACGAAAGTAATTATTCATAAATTTACTAACTTAAGTTGAATTATCTCCCTTCCCTACAGACGGGACGGGAAATATATAAAGAAATGCATATATGTAGTTTGTTTATATATATATATATATATATATATATATATATATATATATATACATATATGATGTCTCAAAAATTTGTCTCTGGATTTCGAAAAATTACCTAAAAATGCAGGTTAGGTACCTTTTCAAAAAAATTATTTACTAGCTCACTTCAAGACAGAAGAATTTCCTTTTCTTAAGCTTTTTTTCGTATATTCAATAATAATAATAATAATAATAATAATAATAATAATAATAATATCTAATAGGGTCTAATTTTAACTAAATGCTGAGGAATTTTTTATTTATATAGATTATTAAGACAACTAAGGAAAGTATTTATTCATAAATTTACTCACTTAAGTTGATTCATCTCCCTTCCCTACAGACGGGACGGGAAATATATAAAGAATATACAATTACTTAATAAATCCATTAGAAAGAAAGAAAGAAAGAAAGAAAGAAAGAAAGAAATTTCCTCTCATATATAATTAATCAGTAGTTAAACAGTTCCTTGTCTTTTTTATATATTTTATAAATATACGCTGGGTTTTTTTTTATCTAAAGTTATTTTATTCTCAGATCTCTTCGCAAAATATTATCTTACTGTTAACCAATTTCTGGTATATCTAAAGAAGATATATACTTTTAGTATCATGTTTCAATGTTCTCTACAAACAGGTAAGAAAAATGGTAAATTCTCTGTTCCATTTGTAATAGTCGTTGTGTTATTTTTATTCAATCGTTTAAGAATCTGACATTAGTCTATGGTTAGCAGGCGTTTCGAATAAGACATTTTTCTATGGTTAATACAAGAAAATTACAATAATTTAAATAATGTTAATCAAGTCCTTAAGTTTACATGAAGTTATTTAAAATAAATTTTCATTATAATTCAACAAAAAAAAGACAATTACTATCTTGACAAACCTTAAATGAAAATGTTTGTCATTTAAAATGTGTAATTAAATATGACGTTCCTTAGAAGACGACCGACATTTAAAATGCTGCCAAATTCAAAATTAATTTTAAATTAGGACAAAATGCAATTAATTCATTGCTTACAAAAATAAAACCGAATTTAACACGATTTATCTTATGCTAAGATAAAATTCTAAACAAATGAAATCAGATAAAGAATGAAAGTTCTTCAGCAAAACAAGAATCTTTCGCCTCTCAAAATTGCCCAAAATTGACAGAAATTTATCTAAACATCCAACAAGATTATTTCTTCTAATCCATAAAAAAAACATTCCATTTGAAAACATTTCAATATACTGCCTTTATTTGCTTGTCTTTTTCTTTTATTTCTATTTTATAAAAAGAAATATTCAAATATTACCTTGCATCTTCTGAAACAACATTCCTAATCGAGACACGGCAGCAAGAACACGCGGTCTAGACAAGAAAGGTGTATTCAATTGCAATGAGCAGTAAATGTTTTTGTTGATGGTGCTGTTGTTTTTTTTAGCCTTTTATATTACACGAACGTTACTTTGTAGTAAACAGCGAGAAATTAAATCCCTACCAACTGCTAATAAGTTTTTGAATATTTTAGTTATTTATTCAATATATATATATATATATATATATATATAGATATATATTACATGAATCATTCATACAAAAACAGATATAGAAGTTAATGATATAAATAGCGAGAATACATCTTCGCAAACAAATTTAATAAAGTACATTAACCCCGAACCTGTATATGAATGTTATGATTCCTGTTTATAAATTCAAGTTGCATAAGGTATTTTTTAGTTTTTTACAAGCTTTCGTCTGTTCCTACAGACATCTTCAGGTATGGAAATAGATTTGTTTTTGTTTTTTACTTCTCGGTAATAACAGGACAATGAAAATATAGATGTAATCTGAAAAATGGTTTTAGAAATGTGTTATTGTTAATTGTAAGAAATTTTTTTGGCGCGTGCGGTCGCAACGCTGAGTTTGAATTTTTAAATTTTAAGATTGTGGGTTTTTGTACTAATATGGTAATAGGAGAATTCTTTTGTACTTGTAGGTTTTTCAGTCAATGCGGCATGAACTAAATTGTTCAATAAATACAGGAATGTCTCAGTTATTATCCGAAAGTTGCACGTCGGATCAGTTATTTTAATATCAAGTATGTGGTGCAGTTCAATTTACATTACATGAATCATTCATACAAAAATGTAGGGACAGACGAAAGCTTGTAAAAAACTAAAAAAAGACCTTATGCAACTGGAATTTATAATCAGAGATCATAACATTCATCTACAGGTTCGGGGTTAATGTACTTTATTAAATTTGTTTGCGAAGATGTATTCTCGCCATTTAAATCATTAACTTCTATATCTGCTTTTGTATGAATGATTCATGTAGGGGTAAATTGAACTGCACCACATACCTGTTTATATATATATATATATATATATATATATATATATATATATATATATATATATATATTGAGACATATTTCATTGAATAATTTGAACAGGTTTTGTCTACTTATTTCAATTGCATCCTTTCATATTCACGGAGAAGCTTATTGGTGCCATTACATTATTAAATGAAAAGAGAAAATTAACTTGTTAATCTATATTATTTATTTTGGAGAACTTTCGGCATTAGCATAATGTCATCATCAGGAGAAAACGTGGCCACATTATTCAATGAAACATGTCTCAATGGAAACATGCTTGAAGTATGCGCAATATATATATATATATATATATATATATATATATATATATATATATATATATATATATATATTATTTACATATAGAGTGTACCTGTGAAGTAACAAAATCAATAAAAAACTATTTTAGCCGACGCGTTTCGTCCTATATATCTATTTATCTATCTATCTATCAAGGCAAATGCTTGATAATTTGCATTGACAAAATCCCTTAGAGGCTAAAATACTTTAACATTGAAAAGCGTAAACCTGTAGTAGGTGTTTCGACAAGTTAAGGTTTAGGTTGACCTTTTACTTCCAATATCAATTCCTCACAATTAACTCCTACTTCCTCTAACCATACAAACATGAATTTCATTCCACACCGAGGTTGAAAAGGCAGACGACTAATTTCGTCGTTTGCCGATATAGCCTATTCTCTATATGCGGTAAAAGGATTTGTTTGGTTATTAATTATATTGCTCTGTATAAATATAATACATCGACCTCTTTTTGTGGATCAGTTCTAATATTTTTATATTACTACTAGGATCTACTTTAGATTATATACCAACGGATTTTTTCCTTAGCATATATATATATATATATATATATATATATATATATATATATATATATATATATATATATATATATATATATAGGAGATGTTTAAATTTGACGATAATAGTTTTTATGGTTGAAGAATATCTGAAAGAATTTCCTAACGTTATATATCTTTTCAATATCAAATAAATGCAATGATCTTGGTAGATTCCCGTTACTTTATTGATTTATACAGTGTTATTTCCGTATTTGCATTTGTGGTTGCTGGTGTGTGAGACCATAGACCTTGGAAAGAACCACAGACACATGTTAATCTTCCGCTTTGCAGCTGTAAGCAGACAATCTTAGGTAAGTAAATATTCTTCGACCATGTCCAAAATGCCCTTTGCTAGAAAACGAAAGACTTGCTACTAACGCTTCCTTTTTCTGCGCATAAACAGTTGGAAGGCTTTTGGTCTGTGTCAGGCTTGAAAAGCAAGTCAATTCGGTTAGCTTTATCTGCATAATCATAAGGAC